GTCGAATTGTAGAAATCCAACCGAATTTTGTTCATAACCCAATTTAAGAATCTTATATGGAGTGCGTAACCGAGGCGCTTGTTAACCGAGGACCACTGTATTATTATTACTATTATTATTATTATTATTATTATATTTTAGCCCCCAGGCCCCAATGTGGGTCAGTACCTGTGCCCGGGTGGCTGATCCCAGTAAAAAAAAAAAACCTAACCATTCTAAAACCGAAATGCATCTGGTCCCAAGGATTTTGGATAAGGGATTGTCAATATATATATATATATATTGTGTTATGTGATTTTATATATATATATATATATATATATATATATATATATATATATATATATATATATATATATATATATATATATATATATATATAAAATCAACACCTCACCCCACCAGGATTCGAACCCATGATCTTATAATTGTGACCGGGGAACACTACCTTTGGGCCACCAGGACACTAAAAGCAGTCCTAGACTCTGTTATATTTCACACAAAGCCTGTTCAACGAGCTTATGGTGTCAGGATTCGAACTCACGTGGGTTCGAATCCTGGCGGGGTGAGGTGTTGATTATATGTAGAAGTCCGCGTGCTTTATTGGGCTAATGAAATATATATGGATCCTCGTGTTTCGAAGCCGGATTTGGTAAATGTAGCTCTGATCACCTAAGCGGCACGGGTGGTCCCCATTAGAGGTTCACGGCGCCATAAGCTGGCTGAACAGGCTTTGTGCGAAATATAACAGAAGCTAGGACTGCTTTTAGTTTCCTGGTGGCCCAGAGGTAGCGTTCCCCGGTCACAATTATAAGATCGTGGGTTCGAATCCTGGCGGGGTGAGGTGTTGATTATATGTAGAAGTCCATGTGCTTTATTGGGCTAATGATATATATATATATATATATATATATATATATATATATATATATATATATATATATATATATATATATATATATATATATATATATATATATATATATATATATATATTGTTGTATTTTTGTAGGAGGGGAAGTGCCTCTATAAGCCGGAATTTGGGATAACTTGGCAAGGCTAGAGCCCCATATGTGCCGAGCACTGCATAATTTTGTTACAATAAAACAGACCTGAATCACAGAGTGTACTATATAGTACAGTACTTACCTAGTAGAAAGGTAAAGCCTACAAAGAGTGCAGGAATACCGGATACCTCAGTGTTGCTGTAGCCATTATCAACTAAGTGGACATACAGCACACCAAAGCTCACCACAATGTTGCCCATCACAAGCTGTGGATAGTAGAACACTTCAGTGAAGGCCAGAAGGCTGTATTGAAATTAAACAATACACAGAATTGGAACTGAAAATTATTTTTACTGTGTAAAATCAATACAGGAACATAGTTTGTGTTCTAAAATATAGCCAAGAAACTGATTTGAATTCATTTCATTGGAAAAATCAGTATTAAATACAGATAACAGAAAAAAAAGATTAACTATAAGCATCATTTAGCACACAAAAAAAATAAAGTAGGTGACGGAGAGAGGAAAACTATAAATAACAGGGGCAGGTGGTCCCTCGGTTACAAACGGGTTCCATCCCTGAGGACGTTCTTAAGTCGAAAATGTATGTAAGTTGAAACACATGCTATGTGCATACTGTACTTACAGAACAATGTTTAAAATCCCACTATATCATAGCTTAAGTCCTTATATACATCAAAAATCACTTTATTTAAGAGAAAATACGAAATAGAATAACAAAATACAGTAAATAAAAGTAAAAAAAAATAGTCATCAGGTATATCATAACTGCTAATCTAATACTGTATGTTGAATAGCAGAACAATAGAAATAATGTAAGAATTTTTGTTTGGGAATTATATATATATATATATATATATATATATATATATATATATATATATATATATATATATATATATATATATATATATATATATATATATATATATATATATATATATATATATATATATTGAATTTAATTTAGATTATATTTAGTTAAAGTAATACTTAATAGGTACCTGAGTTGTAAATAATTGCCCCTGATTTAAATAATAGTCTTGCACGAGTCTAGATTCCTTTGTCTGCGCGCACATCCTACCAGCTATTGTTGGATGTCAAATTCCCTGCCATAGTCAGCTCCTTAACGATCCTTACCAGAGAAACACCACACTCACCACCTTCAGTAAAAATTGGCGATCATGGAGGAGCTCACAAACTAAGCTCAACCATTAATTCCTGACTTCCATCCACATCAGCAAACCTTGAATATCAATTTATATTGTAGGATATCCTATCTTTATACTTTGTATGTAGTTTGATGTAATGGTGTAATAATGACCCATTTCGAGTGTTTATTTATGCGTATAACGTAATGTAAATATTTCTTGTCCTGATATCAACCAATTCAGGATAAGGTAAATAAAATACTGTAAATTTAAAGTTTAACCTCGTTCATATCGGCGGCCGTTCGTAAGTCGGGGACCTTTGTATTGGTCAAATTCAAGACGTATCATCCTGAAGTTAGTAGTTAACAGTTGTAAAAAGACTTTGTTACTTAAGTAAAAATATTTTCACATTGGTAAAACGTTACTCCAGTACAAGTAAAAATAACCAAAGTTCAATGTACTCAAGTAGAAGTAAAAAAGTATTAATCGTCTCATATATTAAATTAAATCAACAGAAATTATAAAAAAAATATTTAACTAAAGATAAAAATAAAAGACATAGCATGACACGTGTTTATTTGCAAATCCTTCTTGATATGTTCAAGGTAACCATTTTTTGTAAAGAAAATGCCTAAAATCTGAATTTCTTTGGAAGTGCAGAGGGCTATGAAAACCAAGGAGAATGAGGGGTCAAAATGGAAGGTTGATTTAAAAAAATAAAGACAAAATATGGTAAACACAAGCTCCAAAAAAGAACAAAAACCTAAAAAGGGTAATTTTGATGCAACATTTCCTAGGGTAGACTTATGGGGGTTGCCTGTTCTAACTCTTCGTTTGGAAATTTGAAAGTTTATTTTATCAATTTTTTTTTTTTTTTGGGGCGGGGGGGTTGCATGAATAATAAACGAGTTGACGGTTCTGGGTAAACACAAGAAATACACTCTGCCTCGTTCATAGCGTGATACGGTATATATATAATTTGTAATAAAATTTTAGAGTCCTGCTATAATAGTCGAGATAAGTTTATTTCTCTAGAAACAGGGCCGCCATTTCCAATGATGTCGCCACCTACCCTGCAGACGATGCAGGGATGGTACGAATCAATTGAGAAGTAATGACATTGTTTGGACTTTTTTAGAATGCCTGATGCTAGGTAAACATGACAACATACTGTTGTTATTGTTTTGATGATTCACTAATGAACCACTGGGATATATCATCATTTATTTTAAATAATGGGTAAAATTTTACTTTAACTACCATAAGTATTTGGATGCTTAGATTCGACATAGGCTATATTGGGTAAACTTTAAGTTTTGGTCATAGTCATGCAGACTATGTTATTTATTTTCTGATGGTTTGCGATGTGTTATGAACAATTTAGACCTTAATTTCTATCGGAAATCACTAGTTTCGAGTTACTACCCCCACCCTTTCCAATGCATGTTAAGGTAACCTTATAACACATCATATCCTAACCTAACCTAACCTATGACCTGTATTTTCTTATGATCGAAAAATGTTTTGCCGCAAAAATCCTGTAGAGATAATTTGTCTTATTGTTTAAAGTACTTAATCCCATAGTTAGAATCTTAGGATTCCCCAGATGACCAAAACCAAAATAATATCAATATTGTTTGGAAAGTTTATACTATGAAATTTGTAGTAGGGGCAGTTAATATCCATTGAATTGGTTAATGTGCTCAGTAATATTTATATATTCAATATGGCATTTCTGTTGCACAGTAAAGCACAATTAATTATCTAATAATATTTATTTACATAGCCGATCAGCCGAGAAGGTTGGACAACTACTTCCAGGGTTCATCAAGGCAGATGAAAGAAATTTACCAAAAGTAGATGTCATTATGGGGTCTGCCCACATCGTCACCAAACCGCTTCGTCCCCACTATTTTTAACCCGTTCTGTAACCACTGCTTTACCAGTTTCGTCACCTCGTCCATTCCCATCAATATATGCATTAAAACAACAATTTGTCACCAATACCAGCAACTGTTAGTGGTGACGAAGCGGATTTGATATTGGTGACGAAACGGGTCGGTGACGAAATGGATTGGTGACAAAATGGGGTGTCTCTGTCATTATGATAGTAGAGTATTATCACCAACTCCGTCATCCAGTTATGAAGCACGTTAAATTACATGTCATCTGATCATCTCAAGCCAATTCCCTGGCCATGATTGTCCCTAGTCTTTCCATAACATTAAATATTGACATAAGTGACGAATACTTACATTTTCCAGACATGAAATAGAGAACTGAAAAGACTGAAAAAAAAATTATATATTTTTTATTGTAAATTTTCCTGCTGATTCCAAAAATATAATATAACCTTATCGTTCAGATATCTAGACGGTCCGTCCCTCGTGACGATCTTCAGGAGTGAAGTGCTTCCCCATCTGGAGTACTGTCACCCCATCTGGTCCCCGAGATATGCTAGGGACTGTCAGTTGGTTGAAAATGTTCAAAGGAGGGCCACCAAACTGGTGCCTGCACTTCGGCATCTCAGCTACCCTGAGAGATTGGAGCGCCTGAACTTGCCTAGCTTATACTACAGACGGGCAAGGTTTATAAGCATCTCAGGGGGCACTACTCAGTTGAGTGTCCTTACTTGGAGCTGGCGGACGCTCGCCCCACAAGGGGTCACAGCTCAAGATTGAAGAAGTCAAGTCCGGAAAACCGTGAGGGAACTTTTTCGGAGTGAGGGTTGTAAACTCTTGAACAATCTACCAGAGAGGTTGTGACGGCACCGAGTGTGAGCTCTTTCAAGAGAAGACTTGACCAACACTGGAGCGGGTTCAGGTACACTCAGGAGCCGGTGCATGCCCAGTATTTGCCAACAGTGCGTGACAGAGACGTGACCGATCGCCCGGGCGGCTAGCGAGCCGACCTTTTGGTGAAGAATATAAAGGAAAAGAGACGTGACCGATCGCCCAAGCGGCTAACAAGCCGATCAGTGGCGAAGAGGATAAAAGTAAAAAAGTAAAAGTATAAAAATAAACCTTTTTTTTTCTAAAAAAGTTTTTGTGATAATGGTTCCCAATTGCAGCTGGGTAGACAGAGGCAAATGGCGTAAAGAAGCTTGCCCATAGTTTCACTTTTACTTTCTTTTACATTTATCCTCTTCACCACTGATCGGCTCGTTAGCCGCTTGGGCGATCGGTTACGACTCTGTTCGGCACTTTTGGCAAGTACTGGGCATACACCGGCTCCTGAATGTACTTGAACCTGCTCCAGTGTTGGTCAAGTCTGGCCTTGAAAGAGCTCACACTCGGTGCCGTCACAACACTTCCTGGTAGATTGTTCCAAGAGTTTACAACCCTCACTCCGAAAAAAGTTTGCACTCACAGTTTTCTGGACCTGCGGCTTCTTCAGCCTTGAGCTGTGACCCGTTGTGGGGCGAGCGTCCGCCGGCTCCAGGTAAGGACACCCGACTGAGTAGTGTCCCTTGAGATGCTTGTACACCTCAATTAGATTGCCACTTGCCCGTCTGTAGTATAAGCTTGGCAAGTTCAGGGTAACTGAGGTGCCGAAATGTAGGCACTAGTCTGATGGCCCTCCTTTGAACATTTTCAATCAACTGACAGTCCCTAGTATATCTCGGGAACCAGACGGGGTGACAGTACTCCAGATTTGCCTTCTTCTCGCAATGGCCCGAGAACTTCAGCTCATTCCCAACATATACACCTAGGTCCTTCTCACATTGTCTCAAATAGTGCAGTTTCTTCATCCCGTTGGGACATATGATATGCCTCCTTACCGTTGGTATGCCCCAGGTGCATCCTCTTACACTTCGTGACATTGAATCTCAGCACCCATTTCTTGGACCATTCTTGGAGCTCACAGAGATCCTTCTGCAGCTCTTCACAGTCCGCTTGGTTCTTGATTTCCAGAAATAACTTGGCGTCATCCGCAAACATTTGTATGGAGGAGTGTACAACGTCAGGCATGTCATTTATGAAACAAACAAACAACAGCGGGCCAAATACACTGCCCTGTGGCACCCCGCTCGTGACAGGTACAGATGATGATTTCGTGCCATTAATCACCACACACTGCTTGCGGTCATGTAGA